ATTCTGACAGAGTATGCTCTAAATATGTATTTATTACCTTCCCAAGAAAATGTTATGGGTTCAAACCCAGTAAAGTGTACATCAGTAAGAATTCTGTCATAAATAGGGAACCTGGTTTTCTTTGATTTAAAAAAATCCCCAATTTTTGGTATAAAAAAGTAACCAAAAATCCACAGTTTTCCATGATTAAACTTCTTTTTCTTTATATATTTTAAATTACATTTTCTAGGGGGTACCAGGGTTTGATTTTTTGAAACACAGGAAAGGATAGTATACCAATATTGTTCATGTCCAAAAAATGCTGGGTTTGGATTCACAAGGGTCATCTATTTTGAGCTTGTTTATAATGGCAGACTTTGACAGTTTACATTTCCATTATTATAGCCAATTGTGAGACATACAAGCTCTCCAGTTCCATTTTATTATACAGGTTGATCTCTTTAATATCAAAAAACATAAATGCACTAATCTAATTCCATTCAAAAGGGAAATAATAGTGCATATTTCTTTTGGCAGCTTTATGAGCAGGGAACCTGGTTTCTCTGATTTAAAAAAATCCTCATTTTTGGTTTTAAAAAAGTAACCAAACCCAGCACTTTTTGGACATGAACAATATTGGTATAATATAATATCCTTTCATGTGTTTCAAAAAACCAAACCTTATACCCCCTAGAAAATGTCATTTAAAATATATAAAGAAAAAGAAGGTAAAGAAAATATCTTACATTGCTCTTTGCTTCAATGTGCTTATTTTATTCAGGAACATTTAGTATTCATGGAAGGCTAATTCTGCCTTTGTTTACATTTTTCCTTTAGATTAGTTCAGCATGACAGTTTGTTTAATTTTACACTACTGCACTCATGAGAGCTAAACATTCAATTATGTTATTAAAAATATAGTCTTGTGCATTGTAGATTTTGCTTTATCCTCACTTCAAAGTATTTTGTCAACATTTTTGTTATTTTTTCCTTCACCCTAAAATGAAAACAACCCCAAATGTAGGCCAGCCTGCTTCCTTTACACATGAGATTATTTCCCATTAGTCAAGGGGCAGGGTTGCCGACTGTCCGTAAATTTATGTGCAGCCTATAAAAAATGCAAAAAAAAAAAAAAATCCTGTCCATAAAGTCTGTAAAAACCTGGAGCCATTCATATAGAACTCAGAAACAATAAGATTGATGGACAGACAGAGCACAGTAGAGCCACCTGGTGTCTAATAGGGAGTGCAGCACCCTGCAGGGAGCTCTGTCAGGCTCCTGGGAGCCTGTGTGGACCACTCCCCGTTGCCCAGCCATGTACTGCCACTCTGACCCTTTAACAGCCCCCTGGCTCCAGCAGCTGCCATCTCAAAATTACAGGGAGGGGGGACAGAGCTGCAAGACAGGAGGAGAAAAGGTGGGGAGTAGAGTTCCATGTTGGGATAGGAAAAATAGGGCCAACAAGGGTAAGACTAAGGGGTCAGGTGTGGTGCGGGCAGCATTGTGCAGGGTAGGTTAGGGATGTCAGCATGTGGGGCTGAGAAGGAGACTCCAGGGGGAGAGCAGCATGGTTCTAAACCATTGCTGCAATCAAACAGGGTTGCTAATCCAAGAAAATGTGTTTTACTTAGAAACTTTTTACTGACAGTAACTTTTTACCACGGTTTGTGTTAAACCTCTTCATTTGAATCCTGCCATATCACTGCCATCCAGGGCTGCCATATCACTGCCATCCAGGGACTGGCAGAAGGGTTGCATTTACATTATGTAAAATATATGTCAATAAAAACATGTGTCAGTAAAAAAGTGTGGTTATCTGTAAAAAGGTTGGCAACCTTGTCAATGGTTTTAACTGTTTGAAGCATAGGAATGAGATGAATCCTTTTTTATATTTGTTTTTACTAGATGGAAGTCAAAGTACTAAAATCACAGAAATATTTTTGGCACTTAAATAATCCTAAAAACCTGGATATCCAGTGGGAAGCACAATGGATGGCAATAATATGCATAATATTAAAATTGGGATTTTTTTATGCAAAGAAAATGACTTTTTTTAAAGTTTGGGGTACTTGACATTTACATGCATTAATTTTAGTTTCTCTCTGAGTTATGTACAGTTGTACAGCAACTGTTTTTGTAGATGGATGGAAGAAATGGTCTCAAGAATAATTTTCTGAAACATTTTAAAAATCATTTTGTATGGGGGTTTTTTGGAGCAGGATGAAAATGATAGTACATGTAGAAAATATACATGACAATGTTTTAACACTTTAACACTTGCTTATATGTGTGTGTGTGTGTATGTGTGTTTCATTTTAATCATGGAAAAATGTGGATTTGGGTTTACTTTTTTAATTGAAAATTGGGGATTTTTTAAAATCAGACAAAACCAGGATCCCTGCTTATAAGAAATGTGACCATTCCAGCCACATGCTGATAAAATCTTTATACCATACTAGACTATCTGTTGCCTGTACAGTGTGTTTGTTTGCATTAAAAGGTATGAACATACATACATTTGGAGCCAGAAAGGCAATATTTCAAAAACGGCACAGGCTATAACATTCTAATTACTACTTCAGACAAATTGGGAATGATACAAATGTAGCAAAATTGTTCCAATTTTAACACTGTATGAAGGAGTAGTTTTGCTACATACATATCATTTCTGACTTTTCCACATGCAACAATTAGGATGTTATAGCCTTTATCCTATTAGAAATATTCTCCTTTTGAAAGAGCTTCAAAGTTATGTGTATCCATACACTCTCCTCCCAAAAGGAAACCACACACACTTGCACATACTCGTGTTAAACATAAAACAAATCTGTGCAGGCTTAAATATATCAGAAATCAAAAAATTATATTATTGATATAATTGATACAGGAATTTTTTTGCCAGAGAAAACCAGGATCCCTGGTTCATCCATTGTTCATGACTACTCCTTAATCACTATGATCCAAACAGTTAGATATCCACCTTAAAGTACTTTCATCCTGTCTATATTTTCTTAGCTTGTTGATGAGAATGTTGTGAGAGAGAGTGTCAAAATGCTTGCTAAAGTTCAGGTATTTCACATCCACTGATCTCCCACTGTTTACAGAGCCAGTCTTTCTGTGATATTATAGAAAGAAATCAGTCTGGCCAGGCATGACTTAGTCTTGGTAAATCCATGCTGGCTGTTCCTCATCACCTTGTTCTCCTCTAGGTGCTTCACAGTAGATTCCTTGAGGACCTGATTCGTGATCTTGCCACATATTGAGCTCAGGCTGACTGATCTGTAATTTCCTAGATCCTTCTTCTTCCCTTTCACAAAGACGCACACTACATTTGCCCTTTTCCAATCAGCTGGGGCCAACTTGACCTCTGGGAGTTCTCAGACAGGACTCAAATTACTGAAATTACCTCAGCCAATTCCTTTAGTACTCTAGGGTGCATGCTATCTAACTTGCTGAGTTGAAAGCATCTAGCTTCAGTAACCTGTTCTTCCACTACTCAATGCTGTTTGTCTCTTTCCCTGTCTTTGCTGCCAACTGTATTCCTCATCTGGTAGTTGCCACTGTTTCTAAAGACTGAAGTAAAAAAATGCATTAAATACTTCATCCTTCTCTACATTGTCCTTAACTAGACTGCTGTCCACAGATAGACAAATAATATATTTTTATTATAACAAGAAGAGATGCATAGGCAAAATATAAACACCGGCTATCACCATGGTTACAGTGGAAAATATACCATAATTCTTTCTCAGTATAGAAAGTGGAAAATATACTATAATTCTTTCTTTGACAGAGAGTAGACCTGAAAGAATATTTTGGTCAATTTTTTTTCTAAAAAATGAAGTGTGAAGTTGTCAGAAACGTTTTACAAGTTTGTGTCAAATTTCATAGTTTCATAGTTTCATAGATTAAGGGCCGGAAGGGACCTAGTAGATCTTCTAGCCCGATCCCCCGCCAGGGTGGGAGAACAACAAAACTCCAAAACAAGAAACGGGACTCAAATGAGTCCAGCCAGGTAGGCATCCAGCCTCTTCTTAAAGACCCCCAGGGTAGGGGCCAGCACCACTTCCCTTGGAAGTTGGTTCCAGCTCCTAGCCGCCCTAACTGTGAAGTAGTTTTTGCGGATGTCCAATCTATACCTCCTCTCCATCAACTTGTGCCCATTACTCCTTGTTATGCCAGCGGGCGCTAGGGGAAACAGCGTCTCCCCCAAACCCTTCTGGTCCCCCCTAGTGAGTTTATAGACGGTCACCAGGTCCCCCCTCAGCCTTCTCTTGTGGAGGCTGAATAGGTTCAGGTCCCGCAGTCTCTCACTGTAGGGTCTGCCCTATTGTCCCCGGATCATGCGGGTGGCCCTCCTCTGGACCCTCTCCATGTTGTCCACATCCCTCTTGAAATGGGGCGCACAGAACTGGACACAATACTCCAGCTGTGGAGTTATGCAGCTGTTTTACCTGAAAAGAAACAAAAAACCTGAAAAATTTTAAATGTTATATCCTTACATTTCTTAAATGAAACATTTACATTTTTCATATTATATTGTAGTTCATTTTCATTCAAAAGTGTTTTAAAAATGTTTAAAATGGTGTAAAATCTTTTTTCATTAAGAAATGTTTCATCTTACCTGAAATTTTTTCTTTTATTTTTTTCTCACTGAACAAAAAAAATTGTTTCAAGTTGACATTCTTTAGTTTTTATATTTACAATCAATCCAAAAAATGAGTTATGTACATAGATTTACTCATGAGACAAATGATCTTTTAAATCCTCGTAATAATCTTAACCTTTACACTTCCTAGGATATGCCAAAGTAGTAACATATGTAGGGGGAGAACTGTGAAACAGGGAGCAAAAAAATGTTTATCATCTATTTTAGTAGAGAGGGAATAGTGTTTCTTTTCCTTTTTGTAGAGGGTATTGATTGAACTATGCAATTTACGGCTGAATGCACAATAATGTTACATTATTTACTGTTAAATTATATGTCTCATTGGTCCATATTTTTTGTTCCATTATGGCAGTTGTAAGAGGATTTCTAGCCCGCCAGCGCTTGCTGAAGAAGATGAGCGTCAAACAGCAAGAGGTCACCTCAATCAAAAGCTTCCTGCAAAATGCAGAGGATATGGGACTGAAAGCGTACGATGCTTTGGTCATTCAGAATGCTTCTGACATTGCTCGGGAAAATGACCGGCTTCGTAATGAAATGAATTCTGCTTACAATAGGGAAAAGTTAGAGACTAGTAAAAGGCAGGAGGAAGCCCCCAAAAGGTAAGGGGAGAAAGTAGTTTCTCTAACTTCAAGAATCCAAGTGCTCCTATAGTTCTTGGTGCAGTCCATTCTACGCTGAGGTAGTCATGGCAATAATGATAATTCTCAGTAAACTTAAGCAGGGAGAGGTAATTAGTCATGTAAGTCTAAAGCAATGAAGAAGGCAGGGTCAGTTTGCACTTATAGACTAACTAAATCAGAGATGCAGCTTATAGCATCTGATGAAGTAAGCTGCTTTTTATAAAAGCATCTCTGGTTTAGTCAGTCTATAAGGCGCAAATCGACCCTGCATTCTGCCTATGTAAATTTGACTGTATCTTCTTTAAATGTCTGTTTTACTGACTTGCCAATTTGCATTAGGCACTCTTCCTAATTTGTGAAGCCATATCAGGTAATTCATTTTAGGTATGTAAAACAACAACATTCATGATATATCTGATTCAATCAGTACTCTCATATGTAGTTGCTTGCACAATTAAGTCTCTAAAGCATTTATTATCTATGAATGAATAGTTTTTAATCTTAAAAGAAATAGATCTTATGTAGAGCTTTAATCTAAAAGAAACTTCTAACTTAAATTTCTAGATACATATGCCAAGCTAATAGAGACAAGCTAGAAATGAATAAAAAGTCCTGTCTCATAAAAGCACATTATATTGGAAAAGGCAGATTACAAAGATGATCCTTTCTTCTTACTTTAAAATGGATGAAAATTTAGCCTTGCTTGGCATTTTCAGAGCTAGTTGCTGCAACATGTGTCAGGGGGGTCTTTTTAAGCTTTCCACAGACGCATTGGATGCTGGCTGCAGCCAAGGTTGGGTGGGGATTTTGACTGGGTGTGCCAGTGCTTCTGTTGAGATTTAAAGCTGGATATTCCTGACTAGAGGGTCTTGCCCCTCCATGCAGGGTCAGACTGGTTGCCATATTTTGGGTCAGGAAGGAATTTTATGCCTTTATCAGACTGATATAGATTGTGTATGTGTGCAAGGCGGCGGGAGGGGAGTAGGGGGAGGGCAGTAGCTTGCCATCCTGTATGGCAAGGGTTGTGGCCCTCTACCTGGGATCTCGTGAGTGTATATTAACAACCTTTTACAGAAGCAGGACATTGGCTGCCATGGTTTCCCTGCTTTACCTGTGGCAGGTTAGTTACTGTGTTATGTCTTGTGCTGCATCGGGGTTGACTGTAGGGTCACAAAAGAGTTTAGATTATGGATTTGTATAGGATGGTTTGGAAAGGGATGATCCTGCCTCAGGCAGGGGGTTGAACTAGATGACCTATGGAGGTCCCTTCCAGCCCTACTTCTCTATGATTTCTATGAGATCTAGTAAATATTATAGCCACTTTCTCTATAGGTTCAATACAGACACCAGTATGCAGTGATAACAAAAACTTTATTATCTGTGCCTGTAAGTCACTGGTCCTAGGGATGTTTATTCTTCCATAGGAATGTAATTGCAGCTCATAGCATCTTCTCAAAAACAGCTCCCCTATGCCTTCGTTGCCAGTTTCAGTGATTTTTATTAAAGTAAAAATGACAATGTGTCTGTTTAATTAGCTTCAAATATCCCCATGATTACATATTGAAGGAAATGCCTTTGTAGGAAAGACTGTAATTAAACATTACAGTGAAAACAAATTATCCACTGAACACCAAGCTTTCATCTTTAGCTTCTTTCATTTACTACTTGGGCAGCTGGCTAGATCCTGTATTTGAATTCCAGCTCTGCTGGTGATCTGCCATGCAGAAATACAATTAAAAAAACAAAACAAATTCTGAGGTATTTTTTGGAAATGATAATTCTGACATCTCCTAGACAGTGCATTGCTACTCTAAATTATAAGACTGTTCTTAAATGTCTAGAAGGTGTTGTGATTTTCTTTTAAGGAATTCTTGATTTTTAAGTTTTCACTACTTTAATAAGATGGAATTAGCAACGTTATTTTCTAGTGTGCATTGGAAACACCAAAAATATTAAGTGCAATCACTGCAATAAGCACACAATCATAAATTTGCCACTGTGACTGAAATGACAAATAGGAGTTGAACAGGAACACATTCGTAAGTATATTGGTATAATAGAATAGGAAGCCAAATTCATCAGTTGAAAGGTAACCTAATATTTTAGAGATTTGGATTTCATAAGTAGAATTTATAGTTGTCTTTTTAGAAAAGGGTGATAAAGGCTCAGTATTTGCTGCCTCAGTAACTTTCTATTAAAATGGATTTCCCAGAAATTATCATTCAGATTGAAAACCTAGCTTGTGATTGTGCCTAACAATCAAAGTGTGAACAGTTCATTCAGTGAATGCCTGATCAATAATATGAAACTGCTTAAGGAAAAGCTACATTTGTGTAAAGTAAGTTCAGTGTCCTGATTTATCATGAAACAGGAAATGCTAGCAGCTTGATCTGGATTTGTTTGTCAGAAGATTACTACACACATCCCCTAGGCACAGCAGGGATGTTGGGAGATTGTTTACCGAAAAGCTGTTGTTATGTTTGCATGAACAGGTTCCTTGTTGTCATTTGAATAATGCATCTGGGCATCTTTTCTATGTTTTCAGAGTTGAAGACAGGGGTGGGAAGGTCTCTGAGGACAAATTTGTTGGCTGTCGAACGCCTAAGCATTTTCATTCCAGCTCCGTGCCGATCCCCATGGCAGTGGATGGCTTGGTACACTCTGTGGCTGGATCATCCATCAGATCCCCCTCCCTGCACTCTGTGTTCAGCATGGATGATAGTAATAGCCTGCCATCACCAAGGAAACAGCCTCCTCCCAAACCAAAGAGGGACCCCAACACACGACTGAGTGCTTCATATGAGGCTGTTAGCGCTTGCTTGTCGGCAGCTTCTAAGGAAACTGCTAATGAAGGTTAGGCATAATGGGAGAAACCCACACGTATATTGCCTTAGGATATTGATTTCTTTACTTTGATCCTTTAAAACATTTTCAGGTGCCTTGAAAAAGTCTTGTTTCCTTAGAATACTTTCAGTAGTAGTAAAGAAAATTGGTTGATTTATCCCTACATCCTAAATCAGTAAATAACTACTCATTTGTTCTAATTTCCTAGTTTGTCAACAACAAAAACCTATTTACAGAATTCCCCCTGGAGATAAATAAGCTCCATCAGCTTTACCAATCTGCCTTACTAACTGTTTTATTTCACCTTTTAAACAGTGTAGTATAATTCCCTTGGCATCTCAAGTAGAAAATTTTGAATGTTGAATTTTACCAGGCTAGCTTTAAATTACCCACTATTTCTCTCCACATAAATATGAATATGCAAAAATGAATATTCTGAACATTAGAGCTGGGATTTATATATAACGTTAGAATTCACTTATAGTGAGTTCTCCTCCACTCAGACTGAAGTAGAATGAAAGTCTCAAATATGTTTCAATGCACTGCAATTTTGATTTAAAAAAAAAATCCTACGTCCTTTCCACCCTTCATATTACAAGGGACAGTGGTGGAAAGCTTTTCATATTTTCTGCTAACCCTGAATAATCAGGTTTTGCACAAAATATCCACTAAAGTTATTGGGAATTATCATCCCTTTGCTGCAGGCAGGATGTAAAATCATGTACAATGATTCTGCAGCCGCTCAGACAGTGGCTGGAGGCTTCAGAAGATCACCTTTGTATGATGACTGATATTGTCACATCTTCAGAGAGAACTCCATCTTTCCTATCCCGCTTCTCTTCCCCCAGCCCCCCCTCCCAAGGCCACCTTTTGCACTCCCCTGAAGAAAGAAAAGTGTATATGAGATGAAGAGATATGGGAGTCTTGAGTTCAATATGGCTCTTTTGAAGCCATCATCCCCACCCAGTGAAATTGTAGCAGGTTCCACTGAATCTGCCCAGCATAGAGGGAGGGTAGATATTTGAAATATTGACAATTTTTACATATACCATATATGCATAATGTTTATAGATATAGCTATAGATATAGTTATAGATATACATGTCTTTATATATAAATGCTAATACATATTATACTAATATACACACAGTCATTTCTAAAGCACTTTGGGTCCTTCCAGGTGCTCAGTGCTGAATAAATGTGAAGTTACTCGATCAGATTCTCTGCACTCGTTTGTGTCCGATGTGCATGACAGATTAGGGGACTGTCAGAAACAACATATAGCTCTCTGATAGCATGTTCCAACCTTGAGCTTTGAGACTGCCATAATATTTACCAGATAACCATGGCCCAAAGTGACCAGTCACCAAGCAGGGTGAGTTATCTGCTCCCTTCTCCAATGCCTACACCTGTATTCAGGCAAGTAGCTGAAACCTACTTAAGCCAATTCAGTATTCGTCTGGTGAATACTCCCCCCATCCCTGCTGAGAATTCCCTAGATGTGGCCTTGTAAGGTTTAAGTACAAGCATGTGTAAGACCTCATTTTGCAGAAGTAATGGACCTTGCCTTGTTACTAATGCATGCTTTTTTCCCCCCTCTCCTAGTATTGATGAGACCAAGACCACACAGTGATGACTATAGCACTATGAAAAAGATTCCTCCCAGGAAACCAAAAAGAAGTCCCAATACAAAACTGAGTGGCTCTTATGAAGAGATATCTGGCCAGAAGCCTGGGGATATGAAACAATCCAGCCCAGTAACTAAAACAGGTGGTCATGACATTGTGACAATACAAAGAGCAGCCTCTGCTGATGGGCCCCATCACAGCATGTTGAGCTTATATATGTCACAGGAAGAGGAGGAAAATGAGCCAGTGTATATTGAAATGGTAGGAAATGCTATGAAAAATAATTCCACTGAAGCAGAAAGCCCAGACCAAGGTGAATCTGTTTATGAAGAAATGAAATATTTTTTACCAGAAGAAAGTAGCAATGGTAACGGAAACATTCCTATAGTAACTGGATCTCCTCCACTGTTGTTTGAGAGCAAAAAACCTGGAACAACTGAAGAACTTGATGCAAACAGCCAAGCCGCCTCAAGCTATAAAGACCCTTGCGACATTCCAGCCCCCTTCCCAAATTTGCTTCCACATAGGCCACCGCTACTTGTTTTCCCTCCAACCCCTGTAACATGTTCTCCTGCTTCTGATGAATCACCTCTAACTCCTCTAGAAGTGAAAAAGCTTCCCGTCCTGGAAACTAATCTAAAATATCCTGTACAATCAGAGGGCTCAAGTCCGCTATCCCCACAATATTCCAAAAACCAGAAAGGGGAGAATGAAAGGCCAGCATCCCCTGGTTTGGCTGTATTTAATGTTTCCAGCAAGGTGTCTCCTCCTTCAACTCCTCCTCCTCCTCTCCCTCCACCACCCCCTCCTATGCCTCCATCTGTTTCTTATCGGGCTTCCACACATTTTGCTTTCCCCCCAGAGACTTGTGCTACATTTCTGGTTAATACAGGGAAGACAGGAACAAACTCAGATCTGTCAAAAGTACCTCAGAGACCAAATCCTGTTCAAGCTGGAGGTTCAACTTCCCCATTCTCTAAGCTGTCGTACTCCCCAGTGAAGGTAGCAAGAGCTGACCACAGGAAATCAAACTCCAGTTCATCATCTCCACTTCCATACAGTCCTACAAGCTCAAGACCTTTGACCAGTCCTCTTGATGAGTTAACTAGCTTGTTCAGCTCAGGACGGAGCGTGCTTCGAAAGTCTGCAGTGGGAAGAAAGATTAGAGAGCCTGAAGGTAAGCTTACTGGAATGCTTGATCTTTTTGTCTGGTCTTCAGTGGTCATTTATTTTGGTTGTGGTGTTAAATTGGGTCCGATCTGAAAAACTTCTATAAATACATGTCTTTTATCACATTATCCTTCACCCTAGTTTTACGTGTAATGCCAGCCTCCAGTGTCCACTTGCAATACATACCTCTCAAACTGTCACAATAAACTGTACAAAGAGCACATTCTTTCTTCTGTCAGATCCCTGTGCAGGAACCTCTGTTGCCACTTATATGACGTCAGGCATCCAGTGGTGGCTAAGCTCAGCGACACAGGCAATTAATTCTGGCTTTGGGACAGTCTGGGATGTCTGATCCTTTTTCAATCATTCACAGAGCCATTGACATTGTGTTTCATTTTGTGTTTCTCTCTCCCCCACCATTAATATGCCTTTTCCTTCTTAACTGCAAACTCTTTCAGGTACAGTTTTTGTAGCTCTTTATATAATAGGGTCCCCCGTTTATAATGGCTATAGACACCGTGGTAATATAGGATTTTAATAATACTAAATTTAAAAGAACGCTTTATGTTCAGTAGTGGAATACACACACACACACACACACACACACACACACACATAAATATATATATATACACATACACGCACACACACGCGCGCGCGCACACACACACACGTATATATATTCCACTACTGAACATAAAGGGTTCTTTTAAATTACATATTATTAAAAGCCTATATTACCATGGTGTCTATAGCCATTATAAACGGGGGACCCTATTATATAATGTTATATATATGTATATTATATACACATATATATAAATTTAAATTATGATTGCATTTAAAGCAAAAATCATAGAACAATCAATTACTTATGTAGTGGTGCTGCCTGTACATCAGTATGTTTTTGGAATTCTAGCATGTACTTGTCAGATGTTTAGCTAACAGCCAGACTAACATGCACGTACAGAATGGAAACTTCTACAGTTGTGTAGGTGTGGCAGTGTGGATATGTGTTCCCTGTTATTCAGCAACATACTCTAGAGTTGACGCTTCTTAGTACTGAATCTTAACTTGAGATGACAAAAAGTTTTATTTTTATGTGCATTGACTTACCACACTAATGTCACAGAATATCTGGCCTATAAAAGATATTCCCTGTCAGAAGCTGATACATTAGAAACAGATGCCCTGCTCTTACTAAAAATACTCATGTAGTTGTAAGGAATGAGGGAATAAAAATATGTAAAATAAATAGAAATAGATTATACAAGCCCTCAAGTTTTCACTGACATGTCAGCTTCTCTATCAGCAAATCTGCACAATAGAAATTTATTTTTTGTTTGTTCATATCCCAATAATCTTCCTAAAATTAGCATAGCTGTTATGTAATGGAAAATGAATTACAGTATTACCAGAATGGCATATCTTCACTTAAAAGCTGTCAGTTGGTTAGCTCTGTGGTACATAGCATGTACTTTAATCTGAGGATTTTACTTCAGTGTTTCATTATTGTATTTTCATGCAGTCATGATAGTGAAAACACATTTCTTATTTTGGATGTACTTGATACAGGAGGCATTGCAACAATTTTCCCAGCCCCTCTTCTTGAGTCTTTTATTTCACAATATAAAATGGTTACTTGACATCCAAACTTTCTGATTTCAGAATAAAGTCTTATTCATCTTGTTCAGCTGCATCTGAAACTTGCCACTTTGCATACAGATTTTTGAGACTTGAAACTTATTCAGGTTGTTAATCGTTTACCTTGTGCAAGGAACAAAAAAATGTCTTGTTTGTTCTTCAGTTTCTTATAATCGTACAAAATGGTGCATCCCTATATTGGCATATGTGGACAATATGAATTCTTAAGATTCCTTAGATCTCTTAAGTATATATTAATGAACTTTGTAGCAGGAGGACAGTCTTTTACCTGTGGCAAGTCAAGATAGTTTTTGTGTTTTCAGGTAATATGTCTTGTGGTTGAACAATAGGGTTGTTTGTGTAGCTTGAGGAATATTTTAGACAAATATTGTAAGTGATGGTTTGGATAGAGATGATCCTGCCTTGAGTAGAACTTTGGACTAGATGATCTTCTATCCCTTCCAGCTCTACATTTCTATGATTCTATGATCCTAATGTCAGCAGATCACTTAAGTTATAATTAATAATGTCATTGCTAGTCTGCTTGGCTAAGTATAGTCACTCAAATGTAGCTGAAGCTGAATCAATTCAATCTTTGCAGGTTAGTTTAAACTGTGTAGATTGAATCATTAAGCAAGTGAACAGACATTCTCTTCTGATTCTGGAAATGCAGCCACATGCCTGCAGTAGGTTAAGCACACCTCCCTGCTTGACCCGAGCAGATAGCTTGAGCTAAGGTTAGCTTGTCCATCCTTCAAGGGGGAGTTTGCAGTGCAAAGCATCCTGGGATGCTGGAGGCCTGTGAGTTAACTTGAATTTGAAGAGGATCTAGGACAAATGTTTAAACTGATTTAAACTAAATCAGTTCAGTCTAATACTACATCCATCCAGGTTCATCTCAAACTGGTTTTAGTCATTCTGAAAGCAGTTTATGTGCACCAAACTTCTGTTGTGTTACAGATTTGAACTGGTTTCTGATCACTTATAGTGGTTTATATATAACTTCTGTCTGTACGTATCTCATGCTTCAAAATGGCAGTGGGGGTGTTTTAACTGAAGCTTGTTCCACAAGCTTTAGTTAAAGCACCCTGGCCACCACTTTGAAGTGTAGGGACACTGAATGACATGGAGGCTGCTGGAGTGCACTAATTAGCACCCTCCAGCAGACTCGCAGCCAACTTGATTAATGGAGTCTGATCCAGCATGTGCTACTTAGCAGAGATTCATCACATGTATAGGTGTCCAAAATGACTAATTCAACAGTAATTTGAATCTGAGTTACATTTTTAATACAGGGAAAAAAACCACAGAAAAAACCAAACTAGACAGTGTATATAGCAGCCTCTCCCTATGAAAAGCTAGCATGGTTAAGTTAACGTCCAGGTCAATAGTAGTGAGTAGATTATTTGTGCTATGAAGTGTAAATTAAATTCTGCTGGATGATTAACTATATCAGCTGCTTTCTTCACCTCTGGATGTGTATCTGCTCCAACAATTAGCTTCATATGTACAATATTTGAAACATATTCCAATTGGAGTGGATTTCCTATTTTAAAACCTAATGAATGAAAAGCAGCATACCACAATTTCATGATTCTTCCATTTAAAATATATTTTCTAATAGGCACAACTCCATTGACCCCACTGAGATTAATCCCAATTTGTGCAAATATAATAGGACAGACTTAAGCATGTATATTTAATTAATATTAATATTTACTTAATATTTACATGATTTGTCATTATTTGTCTATATTTACTTAATATTTTACATTATTTGTCATTTTTTTAAATTTTGTACATTCATATTAATGTTGACAGGTCAGTTCTATATTAATAATGTGAATAGGCATTCTATAAGTTTGGCAAAGTAAATAGAAAATATTTTCTGTCCCTACATGGACAACAAATTGAATTGATTAATCACTCCTTTAATTACACTGCTCAGAAGAAGATGCCATATTTTAAAGCACTTCCAGTCTTTAGAGGTCTCTTTTGAGGCTTTTGTTAGTTCACCTAAGCACATGTAAGGATGGTAGAGGCAGCAGAGACAGCAAAGTGGTTTTTACTGTATACACAAAATGTTGCCTAGAGTTTGGGAATTGCTACAAATTCATTTTTCACTAGAAAGATGAAGTTCAATCTATGTCTCCTGTGATCTGAGGATAGTGCATTAACCAAGCTTACCATAGGGCAGTTCTAAATTTACTGTTCACATGGAAAATATTGTACTTCTAAATATTTTAACAAGGCAGCACTACGTATGAAAGATCAAAGTTCAAGAAAGATACGTGATAACATTTTAAATCAATATTTTATAAGAGAAAAAGCTACTGTTTGAAATGAAATGCAGTTACATATAAATCGTTCAAGTAGGAGAAGAGCCATCTGTAGAGTCAAGGAAATACAGACAAATATACAGGATGTGTTTGTACTTCTCATCTTTGTTTACTGCATATCTTCAATTCATTTCTCTTGTAACAGTTGGTATAAACATTCAATTTCATTTAACCTCTGGTACATTTTAATAAGATAGCAACATATTGAAGTAGACTGCTTTTGCAAAACTTGAAGCATCATATTGAAGAATGCCTAAATTATAGCTTCTCTATTATTTTTTTCTCATTCTGCATATTTTACATTAAGATTTTGGAGGGTTCCTGCCTTTCCTCTCTTTCCCCAAATAATTTGTAGCAATTTATCTATCTGATTTCCTAGATTAAAAAAAAGACTTAGACATATGCTTGCTTATCTTTTGATTTATTGCCTATTTTCTGCATGGGCACAGCTTTGAAAATCAAAAGGTTCTGCTCAAAACAATGCTCTTTAATTGACTACTGTGAAATTCTGTGTACTTCCAGAATTATGCAATGCCCTTACTTCAAAATAGGTGAAAATGTAAGTCCTCCTGAAGTCAAAGGCAAATTTTGCTATTGACTTCAATCAGGTTCTTTTTAGCAGTAATTTTGTAAAAAAAACAAAAAATTTACAAAAATAACTGAATGCTTGTGAGGGAAACCAGATTAGCAGCCTGAGAGACCAAAGTCATCTGCTTATCATAAAAATGCAAATATAGATGGTGTAAGCAGATCTGACGGGCAGGTTAGGGCCAAGTTAGTATTAACCTGGAAGAACAATTACAAGGAGACAGAACGTTTCTCATGCTCATTTACTTCTTGACCTCTTGGATTAAACTAGAATGCAAATTAATCATTCTGGGCATGTCTACACTTTCACTTTACTGTGCAGTAGACTAATTTACTGCACAGTAAAGTGTCACTGTCTACACATGCATGAAAATTAGGTCAGCGTACACTAATTTACTATATTGTCAGATAGTGCCATCAGACAGAAGTACTATCC